CCTTAACCCTAAACCCTTAACCCTGAACCCTAAACCCTAAACCCTAAACCCTAAACCCTAGACCCTAGACCCTAAGCCCTAAACCCTAAAGCGTATGATGTCCTTTCCTGAATGGGCTACATCTCATGTGGCCAAACCCCGAATTGAGAGGCTCGCGAACCATGTTTAGGGTTTATGGGGTTCCGGGTTTAGCGTTTAGGGTTCAGGGTTCAGGGTTTAGGGTTTAGGGTATAGGTTTTAGGGCTTAGGGTCTAGAGGGGTGTAGTTACTATGTACACTATCTTGGAGGGCTCCTTGTCAGAGTTCTTATAGAATAATCTATCCCAAAACCCTCTTCTAATTCTTAAGACCCCTATCTTAAGGATTTGATCTTCGGGTTGAGGGTTCCCCAGAGTGCTGTAGAGTTTCTGTAGGATTTCACACGAGTTTGGGGTTCCCTGTTTCAGGGTTCTTTCATGGTTTAGGGTTTAAGGTTTAGGGTTTAGGGTTTAGGGTTTAGGCTAGCTTTACCAAGTGGGCAGTTCTCTAAAGTTAGGGTCCCTTTTTGGGTCCCAGACAGCGGCGGAACGCAAGGATCCTGCCGTTGTTTTACGCGAGTTTTGTGGGATCCTTGCTTCTGCGTGGTCTTTCGGGACCCAGCAGCGGCGGAACCAACCCATTTAGGGCTTCGCGTCTTGACTTAAGAAGACCCTAAACCCTAAACCCTAAACGCATGGTGGGATGGTTGCAGAGGCCGCGTCAGACCTACACCCCAGAAGCCAGGAGCAAACACAGAATCCTGGAAGGTATCGGGTTCCGTAAATAATGTGCTCAATTACAAACCCTAAACCCTAAACCCTGAAAAACCCTAAACCCTAAACCCTTACAAACCCTAAACCTTATAAACCCTAAACCCTAAACCCTAAACCCTAAACTGGACGAAAGGATTGGGGGACTGTGGGCCGGTAGCTTCGTGGAGCCTTAGTTCGGGACGATTTCGCCAGGGACTGGATGAGGGCCTCTGTACTTTCGGCTCAAACGCCCTAGACCCCACTCCCAAGCCCTAAATCCGAAACCCGAAACCCACTCCCAAACCCTGAGCCCAAAGATTCAGGGGGTGATTCTTCTAGGACTTCCGGCTCATGAGCTTTATGAGGCTCCAGACTGCCAAGTTTAGGCTTTAGGGTTTATATAGGGTTTATATAGGGTTTAGGGTTTAGGAATTAGGCTTTAGGGTTTATATAGGGTTTATATAGGGTTTAGGGTTTAGGAATTAGGCTTTAGGGTTTATACAGGGTTTATGGGTTTAGGGTTTAGGAATTAGGCTTCAGGGTTTATATAGGGTTTAGGGTACCTCCCTCTTTCCTTCTGAAGGGCTATATAGTTTATAGGGTTTAGGGTACCTCCCTCTTTCCTTCTTAAGGGCTATATAGTTTATAGGGCTTAGGGTACCTCCCTCTTTTCTTCTTTGGGCTCGTTTATGAGACGCAAGTGGTAGGAAAAGGGTAGCCTTTATTGTCAAGCGGCCTTGCTCAGACCATTCCGCAGGGCAGGGCATAAATCCACTACAATATGATACCAAGGCCCTGCTGAAACTACTGAGCCACCTACAGTAGCCTCTATTACTTGAGGAAACCTTAAAAGAATCCTTGGGTTTAGGGTTCAGGGTT